GCCGTTCGCCGTTCAGGCGCCGCGCGCTGGGAAGGGGGAAGGGCACGTGGTGGGCCGCGGCTTTTAGGGGTGGGGCCGGGCCGGGCCGCCCGGGGGGAGGTGCGTCACCCCTCCCACGTCTGCACCGTGGCTGCCGGGGGCAGGCTGGGGGGCGACGGCCTCTCCTCCGGGCAGCTTCTGCGGCAGCGCTGGCTTTGCCCGCCGCGGCTGTGGCCTTGCTGTTAACTCCCTGCCAGCCCGGTGGGGCACACCGGCCGCCGCCGTCCTGCACTGCAGCTCTCCTGCCCGCTCTCCACGAGCCTGCAGCTAGTTTGCTCTCCAGGGCCTCTGTCCCCGTGCCGGCAGAAGGTTTTCAAGTACGGAGGTCCATCCAGGCGACAGATCCTCCCACAGGGAAATGGTATCTGCGGAGGATTTGTTTCTGCTTTTCCTGTAAAGTGGCTTTCTGCATGGTTACATGCTTCAGCTGCTTGTTTTAGTTGTATGGCTTAACTCTGACAAGAGGTTGAACCAAAATACTTCAAAGATCGGTTACCAAGAGCGCCTAACGGCGTGCTGTGCAGCAGAAGTTTGCATTTGTAGTTAGGCTGCAAAGGAGCGCAGCCTCTGTGACAGGATCTGGAGAGAAGGGTGTGCTCTGAAATAGCTGTCTTGGGCAATTGTGTACTTTGATAACGGAAGATAACTGCACTCAGACACGGCATCTTACGCTCATGTTGGCCAGTCCTACTTAAGAATTGGCAGTGCCTGCAGTGCTGTCTGAGGCTTCCAAGTGTAGTGCAGAGTAAGTTAAAGTAAGCCAGCACAGACAACTCTCATAAGCATGTCTGAAGGGAATGATTAATCACCTGTGATTCCAAGGCCAAGGGCCAGTTTACTGGTGCCCTTCGGGATATTCCATTTCTCCTCTTGTATAAAGGAAAAAAAAAATACTTCTTACTATAACAATCCCAAAATACCTGCATCAAAAATAAGATCAGTAGACAATATGTATTGGCCCATCTGTGATATTGTTGTCCTGCTCCAAATTAGAGGAAGCACTGGGGAAATAAAACATTCTCAACTGAGTTTGCCAGAGAAGCAAGAGTGAGTCACAGCTTTTTTCTAAAGTTACTGTATTGACTAGCATCCTGTTCTTGGAGGCTAAAGTATTTGAGGAGGGCCTCTGGCAAGCCCAACATTCTCTGGTCATTAACAAAGCAACCTCGTATATGCAGGAGAATCAAGGTTATGTCTCGAATACCCAAAGTCACAGCTGTTAGAAAAAAGGAGGAAATTATGGCTTGGCAGGCAGGGGAAGGACCATATCTGCGTTCTAAAGCTAAGGGTGATGTGTGCTGTACATCTCGGAGAGCAGCATTCTTTTCTGTTACTGTAAATTTAGGCACCAGATCAAAGCACCTGTGAAATGATCTGGAAGATTTTATTATACCCCATATGAAGTGGCCAAGCAAGCAAAGAATACATTGGTGGAGGAAATGCAGTCTCCTATTAAGTATTCAGAAACAAATTTTCAGTAGATGAATGTAAGCAGCAATCCAATTTCTATTTAGTAATGCATGAAAGAAAAATTAAAACAATGAAGATGCAACAGTATATGTGTATCTGTATCTTCAGGCTTAAGAGAATTAAACACGGATTCAAAATCTCTCATCAGCCAAAGGATCAGAGTCTTAGTATTTCAGGTACCTTACTGTAGAGGCTGAGGTCTGTGAAGCAGTATTAGCCTGGCTGTTCTCACATAGCAAGGGGCAAGCCGGTATGATTTAAAGCAGATACTGGATAAAAGTAACATTTCGGAGCTGGCTGAAAACTAGTCTGAAAATCACTCAGCTACAATCAAGTTTCTGACAGGCCTCTTTTCATGCAGCAGAAAAGCTGTGCCATCAGCTCTCGAGCTATTGTATTTTGCCAAAATTGTACCCTTACAGAAAAACCTAGAAAGAAATAGCAATTTTTCAAAATCACATTATCAAGGAGCACTGAGTAGCCTTCATAGTAACTTCTGTACTGGGGGACATGCATAACTCGTCATTCATGAAAATACAAAGCGGGGGGGGGGGTAACCTTCAAATAAAAAAAAAAAAAAGGGGGGGGGGGGGGTTCAGATGTTGGTGAATTGTTCTTAAGGGTGGTTAAAGGAAATACATCACTGATTTCTACCAAATAAACCAGCAAAAAATTAAAATTACATTTTTAAAGGCCTAAATTGCCTTCTGAACAGGGCTTGTGGTGGGGTGTACTCTTCATCACTAAGCAGAAGTGGGTTAGGTAGCATCCAATCAGCCTGACCTGCAGTTGATTCCCACACTTTAAAAAGGTGGCAAGTTTGCGGCAACTGAAAGAACTACTGGGGACTGTCTCTGAAGAAAACCTGAGCTTTCTGGAGAGAAGGGAACTGCTGCCACGCTGCTGCCAAGGACATGGCACTTGAGCACATGAGAATCCCATTGCTATCATGGAAACTGCAAACGTGAGAGGCCTAGATAACCTTATCAACAGGGCTGTTGGAAGTAGCAGTTACCTGGCTCACAAGCTGGATTATTGTGTTTTATAGAGCCAAGGCTTTTTGAGAGCCACAAGCATCCTGTTGCTAGTGAGCTGAAATGTAAGGTTAGGAATTCAATTGATGTCCTATTTTTTTTTGTAAGAACTGGGTCAAGCACCTTTTTGAGGCAGGGAGTACTTTGAGTCATTGCTATCCCTGGGCAGTCTCCAAGCAGTGATATTTAATAAGATCTTGAATTAGTAAGCCAGTGAAGAGTAGGTTTGCAAACTTCCAGGAGTTACTCTGTGCTTTTTCTGCCTTGCAATATCATTTCCCTGAGCCTGTATCTGCTGGTTCTCAGACATGATCTCAGTTCAGGTTGGTGTTGGGAGAACAAGGAAACTACAGAATCCAAATACAGCACAAAAGGTAGCCTGCCTAGGCAGATGCGTACATAATAAATGCAGAACCGAGCTGGAGATGGGATGCAACCCTATGGAACTATACATACGTACTTACTTGCACATGTGTGGGGTGGATTAGTAATTACCGGGCGTAAAAGGTTGGGTCCTCTGTGGATTGAATAACCTGAACCACTGCAAAGTGATCTCACCCAGTGCTGCCTAAATTGTCTTCTGCATGCTGATGTTGTGAACAAGAAAGAAATACTCCTCTAAGCGTTTGTGCAAACATTCCAGCACCTAGTGTGTGACTCCTACAGCATGCTGCAGGCTGAACTGAAGTTACACCCTTCTGGATCTGAATCTCTGAACACCTTGGATAAACTAGCTTTAGTACAAAGCGTTTTTGAGAAAACCAGGTCTCATATGGGTAGTCTGATTTAAAGTTTGATCAATTCCAAATGACTGCTGTTGCAAGATGATTTCTGTCCAAATACAAGACTATTGTATTCTCAGTTAACCAGCTGCGCAATTCCTTACAGTAGTCGAGATGAAGGGGGGAGGATATTCAATAGCACGCTTCAAAGTACCATAGCATCGGGAGTATTTTTAGGTGTCCTGAAATTGCTATTAACTCTTGTGCTAAACACAGCTATGCTGGACAAGCATTTTTAATAGGTTTTTATTGATAGTATGATTCAAATTTTAATGTGGGCAAGCCAAATAGCAATGTCTGTTTGTTGTTAGTGGGAGTCTTGTTTCTGGCAAAAGTTTTAAGAGTGTTTTTGAGAGTATGTCTGCGTGAAGTGAGACAAGAAGCTGGCTGCATTAAAGCACTGTTGACTTTGTGATGGCTTAGTAGCAATGAAATATCTACCCAAAAGCATACTTTCTAGTAATAGTTGTGTCCACACTTGAAATTCTGGAAGTGCCTACCCTTAACAGCTTCGATATAAGACATTTGGGGTAGTTTCCAAGGACAAGGAATTGCATTGTACAGCAGAACCAGTATAGCTGTAGTGCATGTGATAGCCCATCCATTTTATGGAGGAAAACTATATACTTTGGATATTTATGCTGGCTCTAAACTGAAGAATTTTCTGCAACTAAATATTATTGCAGTTGTAGAACATGTGGAGTTAGTACTGTGTGGTAAGCTTTACAAATGTCTGATAAACTGAACATGTAATGTAATCTCTTGCTTACTGCTGCGAGGACCCAGTAGTTTAAATATAAATCAGTCTTTCCTTGAAAGGAATCATTCATAAAAGTTAATCTTCTCCCTTTTAGCCAAACAAGTACACTGGCAAAGTTAGTTTGCCTGTTTAAGTGAAAGGCAGAATGAACTTAATGGAGTAAAAATTATATTGAGTTGGTCATAGTCAAGAATCCCTCTTTGAAAGCTCAGATGATACAAAAAACTGTTTCCAATTTAAACTTACCGTTGTAGTGGGTAAATTCTAAGTTTAACTAATAAGAATTTTACTAAATTGCATGAAAGTTATCAGTCTCTGTGGTAGATAAAAAACAGTTTGCAACAGGAGAGACAA